TCATTTCAGAGACTAGTTGTTAGTCTAGCCCGTGGAGATCCGGGTTAGAATTGGTCTTCAGCAACCCATGCTTATCGTAAAAGGCGCCTAACGGGATCAAGTGGTCAGGCTCGCTGACTGGTTGACACATGTCATCATATCTCAATTGCGTACGTCGATGCTCTTGATGTTGGACACTGGATTGTCTGGTCCAGACTCGATTATTTACAAACCCCGTCATAGATCTGGAATATTGCTGAATGCGGCATTCAACAACAAACAATCAAACAAAACAGTACATCCATGTTTGTTGTGGTGCATACTGTCAACAAGATGTGCATTCAGCCAGTCTCCCCGATCCCAGATAATAAGTCACATAGTGGTCCTACTCAAGTCTGATTGCTTCATCTCTAGTCAAGATATTAAGGACTTTTTCTGGTTTCCATGTGGGTTTGTTTGTAGATGAACATTTTATATTTTAAAATAAGATAACATTATTTTCGGTACCAAATGTCAGTCAATCAGCACGGTTCAAATATCCACTCTCCGGCTGGCTGGCATATTGCCAACTGCCAACAACGACGTAAAACATTATTCACTCACCTACTCTCAACCCCGTGTTGACCAGGGGTGCAACATATATCTTAACCTTCCTCAGAGCTTATCCTCTTATATTTTGAAATAAGATAACATTTATTCCAGCAAGGTTCAAATATCCACTCTCCCGCTTGCTGGCATATTGCCAACAACGACGTAAAACACTATTCACTCCCTACTCTTAGTATGTCTCACAGTCCCTGAACCATATTATTTCTCCCACTGCCAAGCCCTCCCTGCAATACTAAAGCCCTGAAGCAAGTCTAGTTGTCTCCAGGTTCACGAATCTCTGGTCTCCCTGGGTCTCCTTTTCAATTTAAATGGGTGTATTTGTTATAACATCAAAATTGTGTATATTCAGAGACGTTAGTCTATCCCTACACTCAACCCCTTGTCGACCAATAGTGCAATACATCTTAACCTCTCTCAGAGATTATACTCGTCAGAAACTATATACCACCATACCGACCTTGTGTATGTCTATCTGTCAAACGTCACCTGAATGGTTGAAGGTTGCTCGCGTCTTCTAATACCCTACACATTAGACACTGCCTGATAAATTAGATCACCACCATGTGTAAATCACGTTAAGATACGACCTAATACATTATTTAACCCAATTGTCGTGCTACAAACAAAACACGCAGAACCAGGGCCTCACGGTCCCTGAACCACATTATTTTCCCTTCTGCCTAGCCTTTTCTGCAGTGCTAAAGCCCCAAACGAAGCAAGATTCATTTCATCGGGTTCCCTGGTGCTCCTTTTCAATATTAATGCTTTATCTGTTTATCAAAATCATAAATATTCAGAGACCAAGCGTTATGCTTCAGCGAAACATGTGAACCCATTTTTAAATCCCAAACGAAAACGCTCATTCAACTGGAAGAGGTTTGCAACACATGACCTAACATTCTACGTTCGATAACACCTGTAATTAAAACATGGCATATCTACCAAACTAAATACAATACCAAAGTTGCTTTAAAACTATGTGAAGAATTTTAAAAGCACTCATTCAACTGGAAGATGTTTGCAACACATGACCCAACATTTTTCGTTCAATAACACCTGTAATTTAAAACATGGCATATCTACCAAACAAAATACAATACCAAAGTTGCCTTAAAACTATGTGAAGAATTTTAAAAGCACCCATTCAACTGGAAGAGGTTTGCAACACATGACCCAACATTCTTCGTTCGATAACACCTGTAATTAAAACATAACATATCTACCAAACAAAATACAATAACAAAGTTGCCTTAAAACTATGTGATGGATTTTAAAAGCACTCATTCAACTTGAAGATGTTTGCAACACATGACCTAACGTTCTACTTTCGATAACACCTGTAATTAAAGCATGGCATATCTACCAAACTAAATACAATAACAAAGTTGCTTTAAAACTATGTGAAGAATTTTAAAAGCACTCATTCAACTGGAAGAGGTTTGCAACACATGACCCAACATTCTTCGTTCGATATAACACCTGTAATTAAAACATGGCATATCTACCAAGCTAAATACCAAAGTTGCCTTAAAACTATGTGATGAATTTTAAAAGCACTCATTCAACTTGACCTAGCCTTGTTGCAAAGCTGTACTGAAGAAGCAAGTCTAGATAAGGTGACCCCAGTCTGCTATTTAGATTTCTTTCAGAAATTATCATTTAAACTATTAATTAATACCTTAGAGACTTGTGCAAGTCTAAACACGGCCTAACATTCTTCGTTCGATAACGAAAACATAGCATATCTACCAAACTAAAAACAATAATACAGTGGCTATAAAAGTATGCGATGAATTTTAAACGCGAGCAATTACAAAAATAGAGAATGAACAACCTCGTTTATCTACAACGACACTCAATTAACTTCCAACAATGCCGTTGACGGAGTCGTCCAGTGTATCATATATCTCACACCGCATTCCTTCCTCGCAATGGCCTTGACATTGTCCCCATGCGTGACTTAACTCTCGTGGGGCTAGGGCTTTAGTTCTAATGCTAAACGGATGACACGGGAGTTAACCCCAACGAGGTCGTAGAAATGAGGACGTTAGGGCTGAGTTGGAGTGAGCGATGTTTCAGTTTAAAGAAGGTGACACTTGTTGAATTGAACTTGTAATCCTTGTCAAGCGATACTAAATTTTGGCACTGTCATCATAAATAATAAATCGGGGTTTAACGTGCAGTAAAAACAACGTGGCTGATTGATGATGCTGTTAACGTCGGTACAGGGAAATGTTGGGAGAATTGTGATAATGATGATAATCAATTATGTCTTGTAGAAAGAAATTACAACATTACGATAAAGCAGCTTTGATAAGGGGCGGTGGGGTAGCCCAGTGGTTAAAGCGTTGGCTCGTCACACCGAAGACCGGAGTTCGATTCCCTGTATGGGTACAATGTGTGAATCCTATTTCTGGTGTCCCCGTCGTGATATTGGTGGAATATTGCTAAAAGAGGCGTAAAACTATACTCACTCACTCAAACAAGTACGAATTTTGAGAAAGTCATAATTATTTGAGAACACAACGATAAATGATATTCATATTCAACACACTGACTCACCCATTGGGTGTGGAATATATATCTGATATACATATTAAGATTAAATGGCATTCTCTGAAAACGACGTACGAAGTCTTTAATGTTTGTAGGCAGTCCTCGTTTGAACTTAATATAGAATACGTTGAACCGCCAAATGCACCTAACGATCACTCCTCAAAGAGAATCGTGCAAATGACTGGGCCGTGCTGCTGCGCTGTATTAATGTGACCCAGCTGTTAAAAAAACAGTCAAAAGCCAAGATGAAAGCACCGACTGTTTGTGTTATGTGGCGAGTTATTTATTTCATAGCTTATTATACTTTTTTCACATAAATCATATGTCCTGTTTACACACAAGCCCAATGGCGTTAATAGGGTCTAAACATTGAACCCGTCAGTCCGTAGTGTAACCTTTCACAGCTTACGAACACTGTAACACTGAACGGCACAGCTGGTTGATGCGAGTCTCCTGCATCAGTTGGGATCTCAACAAGCGACCTGTTTCTTATTATGTACTACACGAAGCAATCAAAATGCCATTAGGCGAGTCGTACCATATAGATGAGGCTCGCAGTCTATATACGTTACGAGGAACACTTTGGCAAAACGATCGTGGTTGGAGTTGGAACGAAACCTTGCAATTTCTTTCTCCCTGATCAATAAAAAAACTATAAAACCAATAGCAAATATGATACATTTGTATAAATTCCTACTGAGTGAGAAATCAATTGTTTCTCTGAATTGGGCCCGTTATTGGATTCAGCGCATGCGAAAGCCAAACACTATATCTAGAGGCTGGGTTAGTGATTTGGGTTTATTGATGGCCAGGCATTACAACTGGGTTAGATGTGATGGTGTTATGAAGATGTGGCATCTAACATTCGATGCCCTTGAGTACAGATCCTCTGCGATACTACTTTCCTCGCCACTAGCACTGCGGTATAAATACATTACAGAAATGAGCTCCTCAACATCGGTCTGTACACATGGGTTTAAAGTTGAGCTGGTTTTCACAGCATTGAAGCTAACCACGGAGATAGCTGCTGACGTGTAGACTCAAAGGTCTTAAAATATTTAAATTGGCTTTCTGGATGGTTTGTTATTAAAATATATGTTGTTAGTTCTTCGTATCGAACTAAATGGTTAACATTGTTAACCAAATCAAGTACAAATCAAAGCCGTAAATACAGTTATTTTGATAAAAGCACGAATAGGTTGATTAATGTGATGAAATCGATAAAAAACGTATTGACGCCCAAGCCTAGCTCGTGTGCTGATCAATATGTCAACATTGATTTACATACTGATTAGTTAAGGACAACATGTTGATGTGTACACCCAATATACAGCCAATCATATTTCATTTGATTCATACTGACGTCCTATAATCAGGCTGGGTATTTCGAAGGAACAGACAACGAAACACCAACCTCCGTATCAACGTGCAACGCAAGGCTGACGTCGCGACGACGGTTTAATGGATATATAATAGTGTTGTGTATCCACCTGAGGATGAATACATAAGAACTTCATTCATGACATATAATAGTCAACATGTACACACTGCGGGAGCGTCATGGTCCGTGAATCTAGATAATACGCAAGTGTATTGAAAAATGAATGAAGGATCCTGCATTCGGATAATCTCCAGGGGCCGATCCAGGACTTTGGAGAAGGGGGATGTGCACATAAATAATAAAGTCCAAAGGTTAGAGGGAAATTCTTCACATGGGACTCCCCCCACCTCCCACCCCCCTCTCTGGATCCGCCCCTGAATTCGGCCATCCTATATGGGTTCCCCATAACAATAGAACGTTGTTGGGTAAGAGACAGATGATATAATCTGACCCTGATGTTTAAAGGTTGACGTACCTTGGTTGTGGTTATATCCCTCAACAGCTGAAATGAAAACCACGCACAAAAAGCACCGTATCCAATCCATGGAATCCATTTTTCACTCGGCGATTACAGTTTATAATAAAATTCCAAATGATCCTCTCACATCTTAAAGAGGCTCTGTATTCATGTGTTGATCGGTCGGGAGGCGATAGCTACTGACGAAAACAGTTCGTCAGCAGACGATGAAACTCGAGAACTCTTGAAACGGAGAATGAAGCAGACGACACTTTCCCGCGCTTTTCCCAGGAACAGCAAACATCCACTAGGGCGATGCCGTGGTGTAAGCAGGAGTGCACACAGAATATGGAACTCTTCCACTCGCCCAACGATCGCGTACAGATCAGCTGACGACTAGTTCAACGCTAACAGTTAGACGCGAGTCAGGCCCATTGTTCGACGGCTTGTGCTGTCAGAGCGCTGTACGGGCTTTGTTGAGAGAGCGCAGCTCACTGTGTAGGCTATTCCAATGGGACTTGCGTTGGAGGAACGAAGCCAGAATACACATGTTGCGATTATCGGTCTTTTGGCAGAACAAATTCGGCGTCTGTAACGGAACGTGGCGACACAATTCATTTAGAGCGTGATTAATAACGTTTGAGTGTTGCTGTTGTTTACTGGATGTTTGTCTTTCCAGGTCGTTTTGATTTATCACCAATATTTGTGGGCAGGCGTTATCGGGTTTTGCTTAATGCCTTTCCGATCGGTGTTATAAGTCAAGTTGATTATCAACACAGCTTGTAACGCAATAACTGTTGTCAACGTTAATTTCTCGGAACAAATTGAGAATATTTCTTCTTCTTTAAAGTAATTACACTGTTCACAGAGAGAAAGAATGCATCAAAGTGGAATCGACCGCGATGATATGACATTTTTATGGCAAGTGTATGGGATTAGTGAGTTAGTGAGTGATTTTATGGGTTCATTTAACATTATTTTATTTAAACCACGATGAGATAGCTTCATGTGGCATTAGTAAGTGAGTGAGTGAGTGAGTGAGTAAGGTTTTACGCAGCGTTTATAAATATTTCACGACTGACACCAGAAACGGGCTTCGCATGCAACAATGCGACAAGCCCAGAGCTAAAACGTTCGGCTTGAGTGAGTGCGTTTGTGAACTCGGTAATATTTCTGCTGTGTGGCATAGTCTTCTTGCCGTCTGGACCAGCCAAACCAATGATTGATATTGTAAGCAACATGTAATGCCGTCAGGACACGATGATCTGCAATCCATCAACTCACTGACCTAGATACCCGATTCCTCCTGGGTTCTAACAGAGTGCGGAGTGGACACGAATTGTACAGAACTAATTTTGTGCATGGTAAGACTCTCCTCTTCACGCACGCACATGCGCGCGCACACACGCCTCACTCAATAGTTACATGATATGGCAAACCCTTAAATTCCTTCGCTCCCATTGCTTTCAGTTATTCGGTTGAACCACTGGAGCAGGACTGAATGAATGAGTTTACTTTTACGCCGCAATATTCCAGCAATATCACGGCGTTGGACACCAGAAAAGCTTCACGCATTGTACCCATGTGGGGAATCGAACCCGGGTCTTCAGCGTGACGAGCGAACGGTTTAACCGCTCACTTACTCAGGTAGGACAATTATGGAGCCTCTCAAGTTGAGAACCAGTGGTTGATATCATGAAGAACGTTGTCGGGTCACGATGACATGCAATCATCCAGGGCACCCATTGTGACCAACCGATCCTAATTACTGTTGTTATGATACGCCTGTTTCAGGGCATCTGGTGTTTCAGGGCACTGCAAGCTGCATTCCAAAGGCGGCGTGTCTACAGGACACTTATTCCTCGGAATTCTTTGGTAAAGTTTAACGAGTTTAATAGCTGACGCTTCATTCATATATCTATTTCCATGAACCCACCACTGACCGGTCGCATCTTTACTGGACAAACGGTATGACACATTCGTGACCACCCGTGTCAGTCCTAGTCTGTCTCATAGTCCTTGAACCATACTATTTCCCTACCGCACAGCTCCCCCTGCAATGCTAAAGCTCTACATGAAGCAAGTCTAGATTTCTTCAGGTTCTGAATCTCCCATCTCAGTGGGGCTCATTTTCAATTTAAATGGGTTTATTTGCTTCTGTCAAAATTATGTTCATTCACAGACTAAGCCTAAGTCACGTGTCAGTCCATGAGAGCCCAAAGGCGACTCGCGCCACTCTCGTGCCAATCTCGCGCAACTCTCGTGCCAGTCTCGCGCGATTCTCGTGTCATGTATTTTTCATCTTGGTTCCGTCTTCAGGTAAACGACAAAGGGAATATTCAACCAAAATTTCTGTTGTGAATATGAGTGTCAAAGTGGATATACACCCACCTTTTATAGCGTATTTGCACTGTAACCTGCATTATGTTTAAATTAATAAATAACAAAAATATCAAACACCGATTCTTTGATCAACGTATTTTACAACCATTCGCTCACAACCGAGAACGAGGCAACATCTCGTCTGAAACGACAAGGAGTTTTATGTGATGTGTCATTATTTCGCTGGTGAGACACACCTTGTCACAGATATTTGAAACAAATAAGTGTTTCTTATTTAATTTAATCAACAAGCACGCACATTTTTTCTATCGATTTGTAGCGTGCGTGACACGTTATTAAGGATTTGACGACCCGTCATTGAAAATGCGATATCGTCTCTGTAGCATCGCACACAGAAATTACACTGAAGTCATTAAGGCGGTTTTATTGGATGATAAAACGTAATTACTATACGGTAACGCCATACATGTCTAATGATCCTTCATGAAAAATATGTTGCTATTGATTCCAATGTTTCTTCAGTGTAATTATGATTCCTGAAATGGCAACTACAGCGACAAGGCGATGTCACATACGACCAGTGTGTGATCGTTTTAGACACGGATTTACATTAATGAGTGAGAATACATACTTTTGACACCATAAAAGGAGATATTTAGGGTATTAGGTATGTCTAAAATTCTATTTGTGTTGATATGCTCGGGGGCGGTGGGGTAGCCTAATGGTTAAAGCGTCCGGGTTCGAATCCCAATAGGGTACAATGTGTGAAGCCAATTTCTGGTGTCCCCCGCCGTGATATTGCTGATATTGCCAAAACATGGCGTAAAATAACAACTCTCTTATTCACTCTTAATGCCGAATGCTATGCAACAACTTGTCCCTTCTTTCAGCGTCTTTCCGTATGGTGCGGCGGGCGATGAAACCTACAACCTCATCCTCTCCGAGCAGGTGCACGATCCATATCAACTCGGTCTGTTTACCCGGAAACTCCGTATGGTAATATAATTAGCTGAAGTCCCAGGCGTGTAAAACTAAAGCAGCTAATAAATATTCATCTGTAATTATTATACACATGCATATCATTATCGCCGTAACCACAAACCCAGGTTCGATTCCCCACATGGGTACAATGTGCGAAGTCAATTTCTGATTTCTCCAGATGATATTGCTGGAACATTGCTTAAAGCGGCGTACAAACATTCTCACTCACTCACTCACTGATCTTCTCGAAGTCTGTCTTCATCACAAAATTTGTGGGTGTGTGTTCATCGGTTTGGTCAATGTTTAAGAGCCTCATTACTTCGGGTTTCCCTCCCACATTTAGTGGCATAACGGAGTAAGAGTTTAGTTTTACGCCGCACTCAGCAGTATTCCAGCTATATGGCGGCGGTCTGCAAATAATCGAGTCTGGACAAGACAATCCAGTCATCAACAAACTGAGCATCGATCTACGCAATTGGGATACGATATGTGTTAACCAAGTCAGCGAACCTGAGCACCCGATCCCGTTAGTCACCCCTTACGATTGAAGATCAATTCTAACCGGGATCTTCACGGGTGGCATGAAGGATGGAGATCGGGTAATATAAGTGACATGAAGTTCAAATCGGGATTAAACTTTATTTACTCCCTCACCACTACTTCAAGTTCAACCACTCCTACTGCTACGACCACTTCTGGCACTACAACCACTTCTACAGCAACAAAGACGTATACAGCTACAACTACTTCTATTGCTGCAACCACTGCTAATGCTACAACTTTTTCTGCAACTACAACCATCCCTACTGCTACAATCACTTCTACTGCTACAACCACCACTTGGACTGCTACAATAACCACTACTTCCGCTACAACCACTTGTACATTACAACGTATGATACTGCCACAACAACTTGGCTACAACAACTTCTACCAATGTAACTATGTCTACAACTACAACCATCGCTGACCGCCTCCGTGGTGTAGTGGTTAGAGCGTCTGCCCAGAGAGCGGAAGGTCGCGGGTTCGATCCCCGACCGCGTCATACCAAAAGACGTTAAAATATGGTACTTGTTGGTCCCTGCCTGGCGCTCGGCATTACTGGGTACAACAAGGACTGGTCGGCTCGGAGTCAGTATAATGTGTCTGAGTGAGGTATTCATGCTTCACTGCGGCATGGTATCTCAGTGAGCTAGCACTATAAAACCAGCTTAAGCCTGGGCTAGTACATGCAGCCGCACATACGCATACACACGCATGCACGTCGTCATATGAGCGAAATATTCTCAAGCACGACGTTAAACCCACTTTCACCTCATCTCACCTCACAACCATCGCTACTGCTACAATGATTTACTGCTACAACCACCACTACTGCTACAACCACTTCTACTGTTACAACCACCGCTACTGCTACAATGATTTATACAACAAAACCCACTTCTACTGCTACGTCAACATCCACTGCTTCACCCACATTTACTGCTACAACCACTTCTACAACTTCAAGCATATCCACTGCTACAACCACCCTTCCACTACAACAACATAGATCTACCGCTACAACGACGACTTATACTACTACAACCACCTCTCCTGCTACAACCATTTCCACCACCTCTACTGTTACAACCGTAATATCCGCTACAACACCTCGAGTGCTACAACCACCTCTACTGCTACAGCCACTTCTACCACTTCAAAAAGATTCTACTGTTACAAGGACTTATCCTGCTAGAGACACTTCTACCGCCTCTACTGTTACAACCCTATTATCCGCTACAACACCTCGAGCGCTACAACGACATTTTAAAATACTGCTACAACCACTTCTCCAACTGAAACCTTACTGTTACCGATAATCAGGGAACTTACCAGCCCGTATACCGATCATCAGGTAAATAAAAACACACCTTCATTAAACAGTATGTAACGACATCATATGAGGAAGGGCTATTGTGTACATCAAATAGTAATCAAACGGGGACGTCGGTAACAATTTCAAATTGTGCATTGCAACCGTTCTAAGGCAAGACGCACGCTCTACTGCCTAATGACACTGCAATTTTTCAACCATGTCCAGCCCTTGGTTGGTTGGTTTGTTATTTAACGTAGCACCGGACTAGACAATCCAGTGATCAACAGCATGAACATCA